GAGGTGAAGGCTGCTATCAAATCCCCCTCGGTCTTCTCTTCCCCACACTAAATAAATCAGCCCATTTCCCTCGGCCTCTCCTCACCAGTCCTGTCCCCCAGCCCCACAACCATTTTCGTTGCCCACCACTGGACTCTCTCCAATGTGTCCACATCCTTTCTATAGTGGGGGGCCCACAACTGGACACAGGACTCCAGATGTGGCCTCCCCAGTGCTGAATAGAGAATCACTTCCTTAATTACCAGAACCCATATTTTAAGTCCAAATCTTGCCTGTGCAACTAGCACCAGGTCTCACAGCCACAGACACCCACTGAAATCAGTGGTACCCAGTCCTGAGCATTGCTGAGCCAGGCCGGGGCTGCGGGTGATTTTCTAAAAATGACCTGATTTTCCCGTGCTATTTATGATACCCCGATGCTCATCGGGGAGGCAGGGGGAGCAACTACCGTTCTCGAACTGCTCGTGGGGTTAAACTCCTCACGTTCATACACGTGCGCAGAATCGAGGCCTGCTGAAGTCCACTACCTGGTCCCGGTGCTAAGTCCCAGAGGCGCCTCCCATCCCTCTCGTCCCACATCCTGTTTGACTCTGAAAGTCAGTAAATGTAGAGCAAAAGGCCTGGCCCTGCTCGGATGTGGGCAGCCAAGCACACGCTGCTTCACCGCATGCAGGATGGAGCTCACCGGAAGCAGCGGGACTGCGCTGCAATCGGGCGGCATCGGATACCCGCTCAAGCCCATGGCAGGTCAAACCCAGACCCTTCGAGACTGGCTGAAGTCCCTGCCCTACCCCAGACCTGCCGGCTGCCAGGTCCATTCACCTGTCTTATTTGGGAAAAATGAACAAATACATGCAATGCCCAGAGCAAGCAGTGCAGGCAAAGTGCAGAAATTTGGGGGTGGATCAGAAATCGTTACTTCTTCTGCCAGTCCCTGGGGAGGCTGCATTTGCTCAGCATCTTTAGTAGCTCTGGGAGGCAGCGGGATACCGGAGAAGGCCTATTTTCCCCTCCGAGGTGGATGTTAAAGGAAAGTTTCCAACTCCTGCTGCCGTTGCTTTTTCAGAACTCCCCGTTCCTAGCAGGCACGACTCCAGTTCCTCAAGATGCAGCATTGGCAGCTGCAGCCGTTTCTGTGAGAGCTTGGACCGGCGAGCCTGACAGGTGACTAATTGCTATCGTGGGGCTCAATCCTGGAACGACTCGACTCCCTTCAGTGAGATGATAAAGGGGGCTGAGCACATACTGGGTGCTTTTGGGAGCAGGCCCTTGAGTATCACTGCAGTTCAGAGGGAGGTGTTGATGTCGATTTAGCTATAGATATAGCTGCAGATATAGCTATAAATATAGATGGTGTAGCTTGCATTTAAGGAAACAGAAATGAGCTGTTGAGCCAACTCTACTGGAAAAGCAAGTGTAAAATTCATAGTCATGGAAAATGAGGGTTGAAAGGGACCTCGCATCTAGTGCAACCCCTTGCTCCAAGCAGGACCAGCCCCGACTACATCATCCCAGCCAGGGCTTGGTTGAGCCAGGTCTTAAAAACCTCCAAGGACGGAGTCTCCACCACCTCCCTGGGGGAAGGAGCAGCCGCCTCACTCGCATTTCTGGGTTAATAACTCGATGTTACCGTTATACGACTTCGATGTTACCGTTATATGGTGAAGAGAAAGTCAGTAGGGGTTTCTTATGGACTCTTTCTCACCGGACAGGAACCGGAGGTGGCAGCACGGAAGTTGTAGGCAGCAAGTTTCGAACGCAAGGAAGTGTCAAACGCAAGGATAAGTGGGTTATCCTGGGTTATCTGCCAGGCTGGCCCCGTGCAAGGCAGTCCCATCGCGATAGCCCCGGCTGTTCAACCAGATTCACAAAGGGATCGGACGCGTTTTTGGAGGAAAGGGGCATCGGTAGCTATTGAGTGTAGGAGAGAGGGGCGCGGGCTCTGCGTCACACCTTCCTGGACCTTCAACGCCGCAAGTGGGAGAGGAGCAGGGGGAAGCCCTTGGCTGCACCCAGCTCCCACACGGGAGACTGGGCAGCATGGACCCGGGGTCCGGCCCAGCACAGGGCAGTTTTCACGGCAACACCCAGCCCGTGTGCGAGGCACGCGATTTTTTGTGCTGATTTCGGCTGTTGCCAGCAGCCCGAGGCACCCGAGCCGGCAACCCAACCCGCCCACGAAGTGCACCCCACCAACACGGCCTGCTTCTTTAGCCGTTCCAGCCCTCCCACACCCCCGGGAATGAAACCTCTTCCCGCCATGGGCCCGGGGCGCGACCGCCTCCTCGGCACGCGCTTCCAACCCGGCTGCTGGAAACAACGGGGGGCTGCGGGCACGTAGAGCCGGGGGGCTGGCAGAGCACTCTAGAAGAGGTCCTGACCAGTCCAACCCCTGCCCGAGGCCAGATCAGCCCCGCGCAACCCCCCTGCACAATGCAGCGTGCAAACGCTACGCCACTCCGGGGGTGCGGGGCCTCCAGCATCCTGGCTGGGGGGTCTTGCCCGGCTCTTGGGGTCAGCCCCTGGCTGCACTGGGGGTGCGCAGGCCATTGAGACCCCCAGTGGAGGTGGGATTTGGGGGTGCACCTTCCTCGGGGTGCACCAGGGGAAGTTGAGGCAGGAGATGAGGGGGCAACAACCTCCTCCACCGGCCAGGGAGCAGCAGGGAGCTCCGGCTCCTGCTCCGGCAATCCGGCCC